AAAAAGGCTGGTGTTCGAGGGCTTGACCTCGAAACTATGGCTGTCACCTCACAGAAGCCCCAACGGTGTCAGGTAGGCCTGCCTGAGGCCCAGCACAGGACGTGTTCACAAAATTCCTTGCTGAATAAAATGAATGAACCAACCCATGTGGCAACTTCATGGCCTTGGGCATGACAATCTCTCCCCGAGCCTCAGTTTTCTCATCTGTCAAATGGGCACTGGCCCCTAACCTCACAGGGTTAGGTGAGGGTTAAACGAGATGCTTGCCGGGGCCTCCTGGCTTGAAGCAGGCACTCAGCTAGGCTTACAGCTACTGGGTCACAGTTTGAAGGCATCGAGGAGACCCGCGTGGCCGCAGCAGCACAAGTGAGCTAGAGCCAGGGGAGAAGAGACTGGAAGACCAGCCTGGGCCAGGAGCAGAGCCCTGAAGGACTCGGCCTCCATGCACTGGGTGCTGGGAGCCACTGGGGGTTGTGACTCACACTTCCCCCTTTGGCCCCCCAGCTCGGGTCCTGGAGCCTCACCTTGACATCTCGGTGGGCGATATTCTGGCTGTGCAGGAACTGGATGGCGGTGCCAATGTCACGCATGATCTCCGCAGCTTCTGCAGGCACAGGAGGCTGAGTGATGCCAGTCAGAGGCCAGGCAGCCTGGGGTCCCCACCCTGTTACCCCCTGGGACAGCACCAGATGGTGACAGGACTCCTGCACCCCAGAACCCCATCCCATACACCTACTCAGTCACCCTAATTTCCTCTGGGGATGCCTGAGCCCTCTTTGCTCAGGCCTGGGCTACCTCCACCCCAGGCCACGGAGAGCCCAACAGGTGCGACACACTCCCAGGACTCCCTGGGGCAGGGACACTGTCTCACCCTCTTGTTCAGCTGGGGAGACTGAGGCACAGAGAGGAGCAGGGCCTTGCCCAGCATCACACAGCAACTCTATGTGATCCCTCTCAGTCCGAATCCCCCTCTCCCCCACTCCCCCCGCCCTGTGACCCAGCTGCGGCATGTACCTCTCT